TGAGCGTGGCCGAGTGGGCTCGAAGGGAGAGGCGGTGCGGGAGCGAGCGGTGCGGCTGGCGACACGCTGGCTGCGCACCTCGAGGTCGCTGTCGAGATCGAAGGACTCGCGCGCATCGTCAAAGGCGAGCGATGCGTCGGTATCCTGGTAGAGGCTCGCCTGTGCGCTCTGGAAGGAGGAGCGGCGCGTAGGTGCCTCGGTGTAGTTTGAGAGGCGCGAGGACGAGTTGAGCGTGCGCGACGAGGGGAAGTTGGCGGTGTCGCGCAGCGTCGTGTCGGCTGGCGCCGCAGCATCGTCGGCGTCGGGATGCGACATTTTTGGGTGCCGATGACGATGGCGCGCTGCCAAGGGTGGGTTGAGGCCGATGTGGCGGATGCAGCGAGAGGCAGGGGTGGGATGAGGTTGTCGACAGGAGTCCAAATCGCAGAGGAGCAGCGCACGCACACGCGACTCAAACACGGCTCTGGCAGGCGCAGGCAGGCACAAGCGCAGGCACGCACGCCCGGACATGCCGATCCAGCACCCCCACCGCAGACAAAAAAGGAGTGTTGGTCTCTGCTTTTTCAACTTGAGCGGATCTTCCTGCTGATTTCGTGGGTCGAGCCGGGGACCGCACAGCAGAAAAGCAACACTCTTTTTGTCGGGCGGTCCTGCCTTTGCGCACGCCCGTTCGGATGCACCGCCTGCAAGACTCATCTCGGCTGTCATCCAGCTTGTCTAGAGGGCATGTGGGCCGTGCTTGGCGACAGGAGAGTGGGTCCGCGTTGGATGAGCGGTCCCACGCCGACTTGCGGTTCCCACGAAGCCGTCCGGGTTGGACCCTGAGCTGGACCGAGATGCATGTCGAAAAATCGTCCATCACACCGACCACCACGATCCTTCGGTCGAATCCATCACGTTCCCACGACCCAATTGTGGCTGGCAAGAGCCAGGCGGCAGTGCACACTATGCATCCTCGAGCATGATGCTCCTTCGCAAGACTCGGCCCGTCAGCACCGCGCGCGCTTGGCTTGCGCATTCACGCGTACGCTTGGCACTACCCACCGCTTTCTCTGCGTTTTCTACGGCCTCCACCAGCGCCGGCCCCGACGTCCCGCCCAGGGCGCCGTACGATGTGCTCTTCTGCGGCACGGACGCGTTTGCCGCATCCTCTCTGGCAGCGCTCATCTCGCAGCGCGAGCTGTATTCCTCGCTCCACGTCCTCACACCCGCGGATGCCGGGCAAAAGTGGGGCGCACGCCGCATGCGCGTGTCTCCAGTCAAGCAGCTGGCACTCGAGCACTCGCTGCCTCACCAGCAAGTCCCTGCGGTCGAGGACGGCGGTATGGCTGCCTACACGCTTCCCTCCGATCTACCGCTATCACGCTCATCGATCCTGCTCACGTGTTCGTTCGGCCACTTGATTCCCGACCTGCTCCTCGACGCATTCCCACAGCCGTGGCAGAGGATCAACATCCATCCATCGCTGCTGCCTCAGCTGCGCGGAGCAGCGCCGATTCAGTGGGCACTTGCGCGGCGGCTCACCCGCTCGGGCGTATCGATCCAGACGCTCGAAAAGGGCAAGTTCGATACGGGACGCATCATCGCCCAGACTGCGTTCGACTTCCCACCCCTCAAGGACGCGGGGTTCTTGGAGGTGCAGGATGCGATGGCCGAAAGAGCCGCAAGACTGCTCGTGCAGACGCTGTCGGATCTACCGACCTACTGGGCAAACAGCTGGGAGCAGGATGAGGCGCAAAGGTCGCTGGCGCCCAAACTCAAATCCACCCACAGCGTGGTCCAATGGTCCAGGATGCAGGCTGCGGACATTGTCGCCCGAAACAACGCCTTTTCATACCTAGTAAGTCTTGCCCACTCCCTCTCGCAATCTCAGCGTACTGACCTTTGACTCGGGGGAATGTAGTACCCGTTGATTACGACGCTGCATCCGGCTGTGGAGGCTACATCCTTCCGCCCTGTTGAGGTGACGCTTTCGGACGTTGCCGCCATTGCACACGCAGATCTCGACGCAGTCGACCCCGCAGCTGCACAGGCGATGCACGATGCAGCCACTCAGCCAGGCTGCGCGCTTCTCTCGTCCGCGCTGTCGGCGTTGGTGGTGAAAACAAAAGCCTCGAATCCGCCACACCACCTGCTCGTACGCACGCTCAAGACAGCAGGTAAAAAGTCCAAACGCGCACAAGAGTGGTATGCCGCCTACCACGATCGTGCCCACCCCACCACACGCATGCTCATCTTCGCCTAGCAGTCTCCCTAACCACCGCGATGTGATTCTATGCTGTGGTATTGCTCGATGGGGATCGAATGGGTTAGATGGATTTCTTGGGCTCTGTGCGGGTTGCAGCGTACTGGGCGGGGGTGAAGGGCCAGTGCGGTTGGACCTGGAGGTGGTGAGAGTGCAACGCTCGGGCGTGGGCCGCAATGAGGGTGTCGAGCGCGCCAGTGTCGGGGGCGATGGAATCGACGAGGCTCTGCAGAGCATCGCGCGCCTGTTGGCGTGCAGCCAGCAGCGCGGCCAGTAGCGCCGGGCTGGAGAGCGACGGACGTTTGCGCGGCGCAAAGGCACGATCGACGTAGAACTGGATGCTGGGCTTATCGCTCAGCTGTCCGCACACGCACCTAATCGCCTCCTGGATCCCCACGTCGCTAGACAAGCTCGATGCAGCCGACTCGATCCACGCCTTGCCCGCCGCTGGTGGCGTCTCGCCGGGGGGTGTGGAGGTCATCGTCTGCGTGGCAGTGATGTTGGCCTGGACAGCGTCGACGACTTGGTACTCGTGCTCGTGCTCGGCTTGGGCGCCCTCGCCGATCCAGCGCGCCGCATGTTCGCGCGCAAAGACGTCGAACTCCCACACGCGCTCCTCGAGCTTTTCCCGCCCCGCACTCCACGCAT